CTTGATGCCGGTCGAGGCTGCTGTAGCTATTAGAAGCTGGTGAAACCTTTCGCGTTCATCTTCATCGAGTCCCTGGTAGTGCAAATAAACATTTTCGACGTCAGAATTCAGACCAATTATGTTTTCAGCAAACGATTCTGGGTTTGTAAGAACGAACGAATTCTCATTCCCGCTGATCGGAATGGGCAAGTTCGGTGATTCCAATAGCAACTGCCCTGCGCCCAATGCAAACGATGAGACCTGTCCCACCGCAACTCCACCGCTGCCGACTATCTTGAGCCATAGATTCGGATTCAATGTGGAAAGCTGCGACGGAACGTCATTCAATGATATTTCTCCGCGGAACCCATTCCAGTGCTTCCCAATGGACGGAAGGGTAATGGCCCTCTCCCACTCCGGGTTGTCTAGGGGACCCAAACCAACTGAGATTACTAGGTCATCCACCCGACCGTGTTCCAATTCCAGACGAACAGTGTAGGTCTCATCATTTTGTGGGCCCCTATCTGCGGCGGTCGGATTTGAACCCTCCCCAACAACAGTTACCTCCCACTCAACAATTGCTTGCTCCCAGCGTCTGTCGTAGTAGATGACCGATACTCGGTAGCTTCCGGGAGCGTAGAAAACGTGGGCAAACTGCTGCGTCGCCGTGGAAATCGATGAAAAGCCAGCGTTCGCTGGCGTATACCATCGGCTGACCAACCATCCTGCTACGTGCAAGTTACCCTCGGAATCTATTGCCCGTGCTGCAAAAGTCTGCGCCTGACCCACGTGAAGCGTAATCGTCGATGACGGCGAGACTCTTGCAGCCACCGGCGGCCTGTTGCCTCCAGGTGTTTCGGACACAGCCAACGACGAAGAGGTACTTGCGCATTGCCCGTCGCTGCAAGCCCTCAAAGTGATTTCCCAAGACCCCTCCGAACGCCACCTGGTACGAAAACTTCGACCTTCGCCAGAACTTGGTGAACCCCCGGGAGCTCGCCAGTTGTATTCAACCGGTCCCGCTTCTAGAATTTGGGGGTGGCAGGTTACAAACTCACCTACCTCCACTCCCGAAGGAGAACACCCAAGGCTCTGTATTCGAGGTCCTGCGGTCCGGCCCGCCACGACCGTGATCGTCTGGCTGCTGCTGTCGCATGAACCCAGCCGGTTGCACGTCTCAAACTCGATTTCCTTCCAACCAGCCGAACTCCAGGATGTCGAAAACGTCCTTTGGCTGCCCGACCGTGAGACTCCGCCCACAGCTATCCATTCGTACCTCGAGCCATCCCCGCCGCTCACTGCAGGACTGCAGTTGACCGATTCCCCAACGCTCACTGTGATCGGGCTGCAACCAATGTCCTCAATCCGGGGCGCCGGAGGGTGGAGCTGCGCCGCCGTCATTCCCTCGAATCGCCACTCTACGGAATCGTTCAGGTCGGCTGCGTCAGTAAACTTTGCGGTAACTCTATAGTTACCGGAGGACGGGACCCGGTAGCTCCAGGTTTTTCTAGCGGTCCCGGATACCAGAATAGGTTCGCTGTCCTCTATTACGCCGTTAATGAACCACTACACCTTGACAAGATCGTTATCAGGGTCGGTGGCCTCAGCAGTGAATTGCTGAGTAGAGCCCACGGCCAGCTGCAGGGATGCCAGGGGCGAAATGGGTGAGACCATTGGCGGCCTGTTGGGCGGAGGCGCCGCCTCGATCCGGATGGAGGTCGTCGCGGTCTTGCCACCGGCCTCTGCCACCACGTCGTGATTCCCGGGTGGGAGTAGAGGGATAGTTACCTTGGCGGTGAATTGACCATTCCCGTCGGTGGAAGGCCTAACTCTCTGCTGGACCGTCCGGCCACCGATCCTGACAAAGCTCACCGATTGGAAACTAGGGAAACCAGTCCCAGATACTTGGATTGACGCACCAGGAACGATCTCGCCGCTGGCACTGACACTCAGTGTTGCCGAGATTTCCCGTTCAACCACGACGGTGTGCTGGCTTGTTACGCACCCGCCTTCGTTGCAGACCTCCAGCGAGATCTGCTTGTTTCTTGGGGAATCCCAATGGGTGGAAAATCTTGACGAGTTCCCGGACGATGGGGTGCCGCCGTTGGAGCGCCACAGGTAGCGCGAGGGACTCCCGCCGCTAATTCCCGGCTGGCAGGACACCGTCTCGCCGGTATTCACGTTGCTGGAACTGCAGCCCAGTGTGTTGATGATGGGCCGCGGGTCTACCCGCTGGACCACATCCACCCAATGCTCGCCGATGTCACAACCCTCGTCGTTGCATGCCTCGAAAACGATCTGCTTTCGTCCCGGTGAGTCCCAGTGTGTCGAGAAGGCCCTGTTTGTGCCGGTCCAGGGATTCCCCTCTCTGGAACTCCAGAGGTAGCTTGTGGGACTACCGCCACCGACGCTTGGGCTGCAACTCACGGTCTCTCCAATATCGACGCTTGTGTCGCTGCATCCAAGGTTGTTGACCACAGGCGGCTGACCGGCACGCAGATCCCAGTACACAGAGTCTGAAGCTCCACCGTCATCGGTAAACACAGCTTCAACTCGGTAATTTCCACTGGTAGAAAAAGTGTGCCTATAGGTCCTTTCGGCCGAACCGGTCAACGGCAGGGACTAGCCGGATTCCCGCTGCCCGTTCACATACCATTCAACCTGGTTAATGTTGTTGTCCGGATCAGTACCCCTGGCGGTGAAGGTCACGCTTTCCCCGGCGCTCACCGGCAAGGAGGCCAAGGGGGAAACCGCGGACACAGACGGGGGACGATTTGGATCATCGGCGAATAGTTCCCAGACTACGGAGTCTGATTCTCCAGCGGTATCAGTGAACTCAACCTCAATCCGATAGGTACCTGCGGACGAGAATCTGCGAGTGTATGTCCTTTCAATCCTGCCGGTCTGAGACAGAGATTGGCCGTTTTCCCAACTCCCGTTGACGTACCAGTCAACTTGGGAAATGTTGTCGTCCTGGTCTGTGGCCCTGGCCGTGAAAGTCACACTGTCCCCGACATCGATCGTCATGGACTGCAGGGGAGAAACAGCAGATACGGATGGCGGGCGGTTTGGGTCTTCGGCGGAAAGTTCCCAGACTACGGAGTCTGATTCCCCGTTGGCATCAGTGAACTCAACCTCGATCCGATAGGTGCCTGCGGACGAGAATCTGCGAGTGTATGACCTCTCAGTCCTTCCCGTCTGCGACAGGGACTCGCCGTTTTCCCAACTCCGGTTGACGTACCAGTCAACTTGGGAAATGTTGTCGTCCTGTCTGTGGCCCTGGCCGTGAAAGTGACACTGTCACCGACATCGATCGTCATGGACTGCAGGGGAAAGACCGGAGTTACGGATGGCGGGCGGTTAGGGTCTTCGGCGAATAGTTCCCAGACAACAGAGTCTGATTCCCCGTTGGTATCAGTGAACTCAGCCTCGATCCGATAGGTGCCTGCGGACGAGAACCTGCGAGTGTATGACCTCTCAGTCCTTCCCGTCTGCGATAGTGACTCGCCGTTTTCCCAACTCCGGTTGACGTACCAGTCGACTTGGGAAATGTTGTCGTCCTGGTCTGTGGCCCTGGCCGTGAAAGTCACGCTGTCCCCAACATCGATCGTCATGGACTGCAGGGGAGAAACAGCGGATACAGAGGGGGGGTTGTTGGATTGCTCCACCCGAATACTGAACTCACCCACATCAAACCCCTGTTGGTCCGTGTCGTCCACGTCCCGGCCTGTAGGAGCTCTAGTGCAATCGGCATAGTTGTCCACGCACACCCAAAACCTGTAGAAGACCCGAAAGACCCCTGTCTCATTGGGGGTAACCTCGAGTTCGAGGGTACGGCTGGCGTTTGCTGGCCAGTCAGGGTCCAATGGCTCGACAAGCAGGTATCTCGCCGACACCTGTGAGTTGCGAGAATTCCATAGTGAATCCCCGCGGTCGTAATACTTGACCCTTGAAGTCCCAGAGGTATAGCTGTCCGTTCGCACCGAGCCCTGGGACGAGGAATAGGAACTTGAGTTGCCACCAGACTGGGTCAGGTCGGGAAACGATACTGAAATGCTCCCGTCTTAGGCGGAGTCGGTTAAATCGTCGAGTCGGAACCTGAGCCGAATGCTTTCGCCCAGTTCAATTGAAGAGGGTGGACTCCACGTTCTCCAGTCAAACCCAGGGCCACCAAGTGGTGCGGGACTTCCCACAGCGAGCAAGTCTTTTGAAGGCCCCACGCCCGCAACCAGCAGGACGAGAGCCGTTACAAGCAGAGCCAAAGCCCCTCTGCCCAGTACATACCCTGGGCCACGGGATCTATACGAGGCGTGTATGGAATTGCCTATGCCATTCACAGCTTATAACCACGCCCTAAGTACGTCTTCCCTCGGTAGTGGCCTTGAGCAATTCGAAGCCCTGTGAAAGAGAGCCAGATCCGAGACTGATGCTTCCTCAACTGCTCGGATTGCCGTGTAGTTTCACCTCACTCAATTTCCAGCTTCAACGAGGAGTACGATTCCCGCAACAAATACCTGATGGCCTTAATACTGAATGGACGACTGCGGTAGAGATCCGGATGTTTCACGAGGCAAACACATCCTGTCCATCAGGTGCTTTTGTCCGCCAGTCGTTCTCTGTAATAGTGAATTGGCGTTGCGTTTCCTAGTCAATCTTTGTTCCGACCCGGGCATTTCTGTCATTCATAACCAGAGTGCAACATCAGATTGAAACAGCCGTTGCCTGATGAAATGAACGTATACCATTTCTTGCGCTTGGAGGGAAGAATGGAATAAATACCTACCATAGTATGTGCATACCTAGATTGTTTACACATAGAATAGGTATGAACGCTAACGGTAGATGTGGTATTAACATAGGACGAATAGCGTACTGGCGCGGCTGCGACAGGGGATGCGCCCAGGGGGATGGTCTTGTTACCTTGTTGACCGTAGGTAGGGCGCGAAGGGCGGGTTGCGCGGATGGGTAGGGGCGGGTGGCTCCCGGCTTAGGGGCAGTGGGCGGCCTGCGGATGCGCTGGCTCAGATAATGGTGGCGTCGCGGATCACCGCTTCGGCTCTCTGCCGGTCGTCGGTGGTCAAGCCGATGGTGGTGTATCCAGCGTCGCGTCCGAGAATGTGCATGCTCTGGATGTTCACCCCTGCCTGCTTCAGGCTATCTGCCACGTCCGCCAGCTTGCCGGGTTCATCCTTCAGCCTCAGCACTATGGTGTCGTCGCTGACCGCCTTGAAACCGGCCTCGTTGAGCAGGGCTAGAGCGTGGTCGGTATCATCGGCAGTAAGTACCACTGTACCCTGCTCTCCGTGGGACTGGGTGTTAATTCCTTCCACGTTGATTCCGCCATCAGCCAGCACCCTGGTAATGTCGGATATCACTCCGACCTCGTTATTGGCCACTACTACGATTCGTTTCAGGCGGTCCATTAGTCCCTCTCCTCAGACGTCACAGGGTCCAGTTCCAATGGGGCAGTGCAGTCGTTCACAAGCTCGTCAATCATTTCGCGGGTAACGTGGGGCATGGTGATGATGTGCGCTTCCGTGCCTTCGGGAGCGATCTGCCACTTCCGGAACACTTCTCGCGGCGGCTTGGGGAAGACCACCGTCACTGAGTTTCGATGGCGCCAGGCTTTTAAGCCATGCCGGTTGAACTGCTGCACTGCATATTCCGCATTTTCCAGCATTCCGGAAACCAAATCCTGCAGGCCATCGTCTCCGTAGCGGTTGAGGGCATACCACAGCATCAGTGGAGCAATGCCGCTGCGTGAGCCGGAAAGCGTCGTATCGTGTACCCCCACGTATTCCACCGCACGGCCGACCCGTTCGACGTGGGGGCGCTTGGTAAGCACCACGCCGCAGGGAGCGGGGGCCCCGATCAGCTTGTGGCCGCTCACCGAAATGCTGTCAATACCGGCATCGAAACCGAACGCCTGCGGTTCAGGCACGAATGGCAGGATCATGCCGCTGAGCGCCGCATCGGCGTGGATGTAAGCGTTGCTGACAAGCAGTTCGTCGAGGATGTGCCTGATCTGGGGGATGTTGTCCACGGCGCCACGCATGGTGGTGCCGACGTTGGCCATGATCACAGCCGGAACGTCGCGGTTCACCCTGATCATGTCGCGGAGGTCGCCGTAGTCGATTTCTCCATTCTCCTGGCGTTTGATCATAATGTACCGGGCGTTCAGCACGCGAACGTTCTTGAGGACGCTGTAGTGCGTGTCTTCTGAGAAATAGAACATGGCGTTGGGGAACAACTCGCGGGCAAGGTAGAGACCATACATGTTTCCCCTCAGTGCCGCCGGAGGTCACATAGCCCCAGGCCTCCGCGGGCGCAATGCGCATAAGTCTGGCGAAACTGGCGATCACTTCACGCTCGAACTCGTGCGAGTTGGCCCAGTAGTTACTGGCGTGAAACGGGTCTCCGATGTTGTTCACCGAATAGTCAAGGAAAGGAAAGAGTGGGGAGTAATCGATCCGCTGGTTTGCGGGATAGCCGATCTGCTTCTCGCCCGCCTCGCGGATTCTGCACAGCAGACCGTCCAGGGTCTCCTGGATCTCCGCCATGGGAGTTGCCACACCCGAAATACCGCTGTTCATACCGGTACATTCTCCAGGATATCCAGTATGAAGAGATGGTACATTCTGCTGTCTGGCAAAGGAAGGGGAAACTGTCATATACCGGCGGATTTCGCGTTGGGACGGAGCGATTCCATGGCTGCGCAGGGAATCAGGTTCAACCAGCGGGTGGAGGCGTGCATGCGGAAGGCAATGTGGTGCACCCACGGGAAATGGGATAAATGGGATGCAATTCATCCCATTGGTTCCCACAAATTCCCATTTTGTCCCATTTTAGCGTTCTTTCGTAGCTGGATTTGTCCCGAAATAGCGAAATTTTTCAAAACCGTCCCATTTCGTCCCATTTTCTCATTCAGACCTGCTTGCGGATGGCATGATGGCCAAGACGCGGGCATATGAGCGGCGGGGCAACTCTGGGCATCAGTCATACGAAGATATGGTACGGAGCCGTCATGAGGCTTGGCAAGCGGCATGTGTCATCAAAATTTCCAGACGGGATTGCCCGGCCATTAGCCATGAGCCACTGCAAGCAGGCTGCTTGTGGTCAATGCCTTTGACTCGCCACCCTGCAAAGTCGCAGTGCAACAGGGATTTCTCCTGCGCCGCAGTGCGTATAGGCCCTGGCTTCGAACTGGCCGCCGGATGCCGTCGTCGACACCCATGGCTGGCGGTGTTAGGATGCCAGCGTCTCTCAATTTGCCCACAGGCAGTGACGCGCCTGGATGATTGGAGGATCGGCTCATGCCCGGACAAGGCCTGGACTATTCATCGCTCTTCAACAGGGAACTGCCTCCTCCCCAAGGTTCGTGGGGAGGCCATCCCAAGTACAACTTCATCGGTGGCCACAGCGACCCAGACATGGTCCCTATGGAGGGCTTCATCGAGTCGGCGACCAGGGTTTTCCAGGGTGATCCCAGGAACATTTCGATGTACAACTTCGACGGCGCTGCGGTAGAACGAAGGGTCCCTGGGAGGGTGGGACGCCTGTGGATGTCCGAAAGGTGCAAGGGGGGAACCAAGGAGGGGAGGGGGGGTGGCACCAACCACCAGCCACGGAAATAGAGACGAAAGGAGACAGACTTTCGTTCTTACCGTCTTCGATTTTCTCCTGAGCCCTTCGGCGTGCGGAAGCGAGCCAAGGCACGGGGGGAGAGGGACCAGA